GGCAGCAGCAGCAGCAGCTCTAACTTGTAGGCTAGAACACATAAACAATAATCATATAAAGCAGGCCCTATAATACAATACCCCTACTGATGAAGAGTAAGTATCCCCTACAATGGTAATACATCCTTCCCCTATAATACAATACCCCTACTGATGAAGAGTAAGTATCCCCTACAATGGTAATACATCCTTCCCCTATAATACAATACCCCTACTGATGAAGAGTAAGTATCCCCTACAATGGTAATACATCCTTCCCCTATAATACAATACCCCTACTGATGAAGAGTAAGTATCCCCTACAATGGTAATACATCCTTCCCCTATAATATAATACCCCTACTGATGAAGAGTAAGTATCCCCTACAATGGTAATACATCGTTCCCCTATAATATAATACCCCTACTGATGAAGAGTAAGTATCCCCTACAATGGTAATACATCCTTCCCCTCATCACTTAGATCATTACAATAATAACTCAATACGGTTAAGATGATGATGAAATAGCCTTGGGATCACAAGCCGCCGTTGTATATCAACTACTACTACTACTATCATCATTTACCATTGATCAGCACTGGCAGCAGCCCAATCACCACCAGTAGCTCCAGTCCATTCCTCACCCTCCTCGAAGTAAGCAGCATTAGCAGCAGTACCCTCAACACCAGTAGTAGCAGTAGCAGCAGCCATACCAGTAGCCTCGACCATAGTGTTCTTAGAAGCCTCATAGGCAGCAGCCTCAGCAGCCATACGCTCTTGACGTTCGATCTCTTCAGGATCTCTCCAGAAGAAGGAATCAACCATAACTTCCCATTCAACACCACGAGGGATCTTACCACGTAGCATCAATACCTCACGAGCAAGTAGATAATAAAGAAGAGCAATACTCTCTTTACCCTTATTATTGCATGGTATGGCAATATCTACGAAATCAAGAGGGGAATCGGTATCACATAAAGCAATAACAGGTATGTTAGCATAGGCAGCCTCCTTTATAGCTTGAGAATCGGTACGAGGA